CTAATGTTTTCCATTTGTGTACTCTGGCTTTCTCTTAACTGTTGGAGACTTTTTTCTTGTTTATTTTCTTTCTCCTCCAACTACTGCTGTAGTCTCTCTTCTTGTTTATTTTCTCATTCTTCTTGTTTCTTTTCTTTTTCCTCCAACCACTGCTGTAATTTATCTTCTTGTTTCTTTTCTTTTTCCTCCAACAACTGCTGTAATCTCTCTTCTTGTTTATTTTCTCGTTCTTCTTGTTTCTTTTCTTTTTCCTCCAACCACTGCTGTAATCTCTCTTCTTGTTTATTTTGCTGTTCGAGCTGCCACCGTTGCAGGTTTTCTTGTAAATACTGTTGTTTCTGTTCTTGTTTCTTTTATTTTTCCTCCTACAGCTGCTGTAATCTCTCTTCTTGTTTCTTTTCTCGTTCTTCTTGTTTCTTTTGCTGCTCTTGTATTGTTGCCATCAAATCTGCTAAGCTATAGTTTGATTTGCCGCTTCTCGTTTCCATTTTTTCATCCCACTTCTGATACCAATTTGTTACATCTCTAGTCCGTTTGTTAATCTTTTATAATTCCTTCTGAAGAGAACTATAGCGATACAAGTCCTTTCTTAAATAAAACTAGTTTATTCTTTCTCAATTCAACTTTGCAATACACTTAATTTCCACTGTAACTTTAAACACACGCTATAATTCACAATGATTCACGCACTTACTTACAGTCACTATTGCGCTTGACTCAATTGTCTGTCTCTATCTCTGCCAGTCTGCTATTCCAATCCGATTAATTTGTCTCACGTTATCGGCGCACTTATATACAGGAATAGAGGGCACCTAGCACATACTGGATTATTCATGATGTTCCCCGATTCTTCTAGAATATCATTACCAGGGCCGAATTTGGATGAAGAGAGGCCCTAGGCCATTCCATTTGTGAGGCCTCTCCCAATCCCCCACCCTCACGTCTAGAGGAAGATGGAAGAATGTTTTAAACAAAATTCAGTGAAGCCGAGGATGATGACGGTGTTTAAAATTCCGCAATTCACAATTCCTCCTCTAAAGGACATAAGATGTTATTGTTAAATACCGTAGTGATTAAAAAAATACATAAATGTTAAAATTAATATTGTGAAAAACTTTTCCAAAAACCGAACTTTGCAAACATTTTGTGGAATAAGCAGGGATTTTTTAGGAAAATGAAATTGTAAGTTTACTGTTATATTCTTTAAAAAACTTGAGCTTACAAATTTTATTTGCTAGGAAGTGTTAATAAGGTGATCATGACTACCTGACAGTGAGTGTGACATTTTTAGATCTTACTATATGTTGTCATTAAACAGTCAGTTTTAAAATACATATTAAGAAACAAAGAAACTACTATCATCAAATACACTAAGACTAAAAATTTTTTCTTAGCCTTCTTCATAGCAAAATCATTCAAAACTTCATCAAAATTTGTTTGTCTAAGCTTGTCAATGCACAGAATGCTCAGTGCGGACAACCTCTCTTGAGACATTGTGGCCCTTAATTTATTTGTAATTCTTTTGAGTCTTGAAAAAGACCTCTCTCCCAAGCAGTTAGTGTCCATTAAGCTAAGAAATAGCCGCATGATTACTTGCACATTAGGGAAGGCCATCTGAATTTTTTCCTTCTATATAAGTTGATAAAGGTCTATATGAGACAGAGAGTGCTCTTCTGTAGGTCTATGGCTCTGTCTCATGTACAAGTGAAAGTGCAAAGTTCATCAGTAAGTCTCAGGTCAACATCTTCTGGGTGTGCTTCCATCAACAGTTCAACACATTGCTGAATTTCTTGCTTAGATGCTGTCAGATTAGCAAGAAAGGAAAACATTTGTGCAACATCACTGTACACAGTAGCTCTTCTTCTTAAATTGGCATCAAGTACATCTAGTATAGGAATAAAGGATTTTATCCTAAACTTATCTCTTGAAGAGAGTTCATCTAAGACATCGGGACCAGGTGCATTTTCGTCATTTCCTTGCTGTTTCCTTACTCTTTGTCTCCTTGTGACAGTTCTGTAGTTAACATTTGGCAAGGTGGCTTTTGCTTGTTGCTCAAGCTCATCAAAATCTAACTTTGCTTAAAAAATCCTGAAGTAAACTGTACAAACATGCACAAGTACTCAATAACAGTTCTGATTTCTGAATAGCTTTGCTGACCTTGTGAAAATGACGTAGCACACGGGTCCAAAAATACAACACAAACACAAATTCCAGTTCTTCCATTTTCTGCAAAAGATTGTTAGCTTGAAGCCTGGTATCATCCTTCTCATTAACATCAGAGTACAAATGACTGAGGGCATCAATGACAGCTCTGTAACTTTCCAAAATAGCTTCTGTGGCTTTTGCATGTGCCTCCCACCTAGTGTCTGACAAATATTTAGGCACTTTTGACTGAAGTTGCAAAAATGATTTTAGAACTGCCCATCTCTTTGTGGAGGATGAAAAGAAGGTATTAATTTCATTGATAATGCCAAAAAAGTTCACTGCATCAAAGCAGCAATCAACAGCCGAATGGCCCACTAAATTTAAAGAGTGACCAGTGCATGGAATAAATCTTGCAAATTGCTTCGAGTATTTTTGTTGCATACTGTTGTACCTACCAGCCATGTTGGCAGCATTGTCGTAAGACTGCCTTCGGCATTTTCTAAAGTCAATTTCAAGCTCAGTAATCAGATAGTTAAACATTAAATCAGCCATGTTTTCTCCTGAGTGGTCTTTAAGCTCAAGGTAAGTTAAAAATCACTCACTTGATAAACCGTCTTCAGGCAATACAAATCTGATAATTAAAGTCAACTGATTAGTATGTGAAATTTCAGGGGTGGAATCTACTGACAAGCTGAAATATCCAGCCTTTTTCACGTCGCTCAGAATTGCGTCCTTAACTTTTTTTGCCATGAGTTGAATCATTTCCTCACATACAATTTTTGACAAATAAGAGTGATTTCCTGATCCGGTATTTTTATACCAATTGATATGAGTGACTAAAAATGGTTCAAATTTTGCTACTAGTTCTAAAAGACCAAGATAGTTGCCGTTATCTGGAGATCCAAATTGTTCATTGTTTGCTCTGAATGGTAAGCCTCGTTCAGCAAGAGTGCATATTACAGTGATAGTTCTCTCCATGACATGCCACCAGTACTGTTGTTCTGCTTTTATTTGTTCCTCTAGCTTTGAAGTTAATGTTTGCCCCGCTTCCTTGTTAGGTAGGTTAACATGGCATTCCTGTGCTTCTCTGAGTTTTCATCAGTTTGGATAAGATAGGAATTATGCCAATCATCAAACCCTTCAGAAGCTAAAGCTGTAGCAGAAGATGCAACGTTTGGAAAGAGTTTAACCCGATGACTACCAGCTACTAACTTTCCTAGTAGGCAATGCAAGTCTTGCTATATTTC